GATGGATGGATGGATGGATGGATGGATGGATGGATGGATAGATGGATGGAAACCTGGTGGTGGAATAGTGAAGTGCAGGAAGCTGTTCAAAGAAAGAGATTAGCCAAGAAGAAAGATGACAGTGAGAGGACTGAAGAGAGGAGACAGGAAAATAAGGAGATGGGACGTAGAGCAAAGAGGGAGGTAGCTAAGGCAAAGCAGAAGGTGTACGATGAGTTGTATAGGAGACTGGACACTAAAGAGGGTGAGAAGGACTTGTTCCGATTGGCAAGACAGATTGATCAGGCTGGAAAGGATGTACAGCAGGTTAGGCTTGTTAAAGATAGGAATGGTAATGTTCTAACAAGTGAGGAGAGTGTGACGGGGAGATGGAAGGAGTACTTTGAGGAGCTAATGAATGAAGAGAATGAAAGAGAAAGAAGAGTAGAGGTTATAGAAACTGTGGACCAGGAAGTGGGAAGGATTAGTGAGGGTTACGTATGGTAAGCTCTGAAAAGAATGAAGAAGGTGAAGGCAGTAGGACCTGATGACCAATGGAGGTTTGGAAATGTCTTGGAGAGATGGCAGTGAGGTTTTTGACTCAAATATTCAAACGCATATTTGAGGGTGAGAAAATGGCTCAGGAATGGAGAAGAAGTGTGCTGGTGGCCATTTTTAAGAACAAGGGTGATGTACAGAGTTGTAGCAACTACAGGGGAATTAAGTTGATGAGTCACACGATGAAGATCTGGGAGAGAGTTGTGGAAGCAAGACTTAGACGAGAGGTGACTGTGATCAGCAGTATGGTTTCATGTCAAGAAAGAGCTCCACAGACGCCATCTTTGTTTTGAGAATGCTGATGTAGAAGTACAGAGAGGGTCAGAAAGAACTCCAGTGTGTCTTTGTGGATTTAGAAAAAGCATCTGACAGAGTGCTGAGGGAGGAGGTGTGGTGATGTATGAGGAAATCTGGAGTGTCAGAAAAGTATGTTTGACTGGTACAGGACATGTATGAGGACAGCAGGACATGTATGAGGACAGCAGGACAGTGGTGAGATGTGCTGTAGGAGTGACTGATAACTTCAAGGTGGAGGTGGGAGTGCATCAAGGATCGGCTCTGAGCCCCTTCTTGTTTACTCTGGTGATGGACCAACTAACAAATGAGGTCAGGCAGGAATCCCCATGGATGATGTTTGCAGATGACATTGTGATCTGTGGTAAGAACAGGGAACAGGTGGAAGAGAACTTGGAGACGTGGAGGTATGCACTTGAAAGAAGAGGAATGAAAGTCAGCCGTAGTAAAACAGAGTCCATGTGTGTGAATGAGAGGGAGGAGGTGGAACAGTGAGGCTACAAGGAGCAGAGGTCACAAAGGTGCAGGACTTCAAGGACTTGGGGTCCACTGTCCAGGAACATGGGAAGTGTGGTAAAGAGGTGAAGAAGAGAGTCCAGGCAGGATGGAGTGATGGAGAAAAGTTTCAGGAGTGATTTGTGACAAAAAGGTGTCAGCAAAGGTCAAAGGAAAAGTTTACAAGACAGTGGTGAGACCAGTTATATGGTATGGTCTGGAGACAGTGGCATGGACAAAAAGACAAGAGAAAGAACTGGAAGTGTCAGAAATGAAGATTCTAAGGTTCTCCTTAGGAGTGACAAGGCTGGATAAGATTAGGAATGAGATCATCAGAGGTTCAGCACAGGTTGAACAACTGGGAGATTTGTGGTTCTCAATGTCCTGCGCCGGTAAAAAGTCCAGCTTAGATTCAGTTTGTTCCCCTGTCGGAAGTTCAGATGGGTCCAACTTAGTTTTTTTGCTGTCATTGTCAGCGTTGTCCATTGTTGTCATCTTTCTTTGTTGAAATCAGGTCTCTCTTGTAAATGAGTCCTCGAGGCTCAATGGGATTTACCTGTCTAAATAAATGTTGAATGAATAAAGTTAGGGATGCCAGACTGAGATGGTTTGGACATGTCCAGAGGAGGGACAGTGGGTATATTGGTAGAAGGATGTTAGAAATGCAGCTGCCAGGACAAAGACAAAGAGGAGATATATGGATGCAGTTAGAGAGGACATGAAGGTAGATGGAGTGAGGACAGAGGATGCAGAGGACAGAGTGAGATGG